TCGATCGAATTAATCAATTTAATCGATTTAAAAAATTAATTATAATTAAAACCGAATAAATCAAATCGATTCAACCGAATTTACTCAATTTTAATCAATTTAATCGATTCAAATCAACTTTTACTCACACCTACTTAAGCTTGTAAGTCAGGCACAGGCAGTATGTATTTAAGCTCTAATTTTTAAAGAAAATCTCATCAGCTTTCTTTTTCCAAGAGTTAGCTTGTAATTGTATATAGAAGCTAAGGGTATAGAATTTGATGATCTCTTTGGTAAGTGGGAACTTGTTGCTTTCCTTTTAATTTGTGTGGTCCATTCTGTTCACACTTATTAATAATAGAATTTACTGTATGACATTGTACAATGCCAACTGCTAGCTGTCCCAGTAGATGGTGCTTCAAATACAAAATTAGCTTCATATATCAAATATATATAGCGTTGTTTGACAGTTTGTGGGATTCCTTTTCTTCTCCGCTTTAAACTTTTTGCTTTGTTGGTATCATGCAGCGAGCTGTGGAACTTTAATGATATTCGCAGAGGTCAACATCAAAATGGGAGAGCATCTCCTTTGGTAAAGGAGATAAAAAGGCTTGTTTAATTACCAAACCAAAAGAATTTGACAAAAGGAAACTTGTGGCAGAGCACAAAGTTCAATTAAAAGTATAAATGATATAATAATATTTATAAATTATTTTAAGTTGATTTAAATTTAAATTTAAATTAATTATTATTAAATTAATTTTAAATTTAAATAATTTAATTTATCGATCGAATCAAATTTAAATATTTTTATATTTAATTAAAATAATTTATTAATTTAATTAAATTTTTATATTTTAATTAATAAAAAATATTGAATTCAATAATTAAATTTTTATAAAATATAATACTTGAGTTTTTTTTATATATTAATTGTATCTAATTAAACGAATTTAAATAATTTAATTTTTATTTTAAATTAAATTTAAGTTAAAAAAATTTGATCAAATTTAAAATAATTTTTGAATATTAAATTTAGAATTAAATTTAAATTTAATATTATTTTGGCTCAAATTTAATTAATTATACTCTTAAATTTAATACTTAAAATTGATGAATGATAATTATTTTTTAAGTGAAAATTTCGATGGGCTCGTTCGTGGCTTTAAAGTATTATTCCGAAATTCGTTTCTCATAGCTTTTACGAGTGCTTTAGCACACCAGAGTAACTATTCATCTCTTTTGTTGGATCTTCCAATTCAAGCAATTGAAGTCCTAAGCGAAAACCTTTAAGGCCTCGGTTTGTGGAGGTGATAGAAAGATCATCACAATTTACTCCATATTTAATTTTGGGCAACTAAAAATGACGTTAATGCTAGTTTCGTGTAGCAGTGTAGACTACAAAGGACCATATATATATATATATATATATATATATATCAACCACATATACTCTAGCTAGCTAGATAACATTAATTTCCTCATGACTACCTATGTCTTTTGGACCACGTTACTGATTATCTTTGCTATGACCTAGCTACTGGGTCGTGCTAACTAAAATTCAATGCATGAGGGTTTTTTACTAGTTTTGCTGAATCTAGGTTAGTATTTCATCATTTAAAGCAAATTAAATACTTTTAAATAAGACACGATAATAGATATGAGAATAATATAAAAAAATAAAGATAATATAATTTAAAATTTTAATAAAAATTATAATATATTTTATATTTGGTGTATAATATAAATTATAATATAATAATTTTTATATTTTACATCATATTTAACATAAAATAAATTCAAAATAAATACATGAATTGCCGAATTTAATTTCAAACTATACATATAATAGCAACTGCCCTCCGGATCATAGAGTAAAAGCAAGGGTTCTTTTCCAAATTAGCATCTCAGCAACTTGCTTTAATTCTTTTTCACTGAAAAGGGTTGAAGCCAACATCTGGCACTCTGGCTGGCATGACTAGAAGAAAAGAACTCTGGGCACCCTGCCTTTTTCCATTGATTTCTCCCTCAAACAACGGAAATATAGGATTCTTCGATAAAGATAATTAGCAGTTGGAGGTACATAAAAGTGTTTTTTTTAGCATTGGAATATCTAGGGTTTCACAAAACTACATTGGCGTAATCCATAGCTTGTATGGGAAAACCGATATTTAAAACTGCACTTCCATTTGTTTAAAAAGAGAAATTTTACCACAAAAGAAGGTTTGTTTCTCACAGCTTATTATATTGTAGAGTAATGCTGCATTTTAGGCATTGATAGATCTTGGTCTTCTGGAATCTGGCTCAGTTCCTATATCTCTTGTAGACCAACAATGCTATGTAGTTGCGGTGCTCCCAAAACTTTTTCGTTTCTTTATTTTTCAACATTGTGCTTTGGAGTATGGAGAATCCATTCCCTGTTGCGTCGAGCACTTTGCACTTTGCAGGGGACAAAGCATCTCTTGTTAGAAAAAATGCCACAGGTTGCTTTATACGATCCACTCATGCTTCTGTATATGAAAATTAAGCTTGTAAGTCATGTTGATGGTTAGGCTTGCAACTTAGGCTTGTAAGCCAGGCACAGGCAGTATGTATTTAAGCTCTTAACTTTTAAAGAAAATCTCATCAGCTTTCTTTTTCCAAGAGTTAGCTTGTAATTGTATATATAAGCTAAGGGTATAGAATTTGATGATCTCTTTGGGAAGTGGGAACTTGTGGTCCATTCTATTCGCACTTATTAATAATAGAATTTACTGCATGACATTGTACAATGCCAACTGCTAGCTGTCCCAGTAGATGGTGCTTCAAAAACAAAATTAGCTTCATATATCAAATATATATAGGGTTATTTGACAGTTTGTGGGATTTCTTTTCTTCTCCGCTTTGAACTTTTTGCTTTGTTGGTATCATGTAACGATCTCTGGAACTTTAATGATATTCGCATAAGGTCAACATCAAATTGGGAGAGCATCTCCTTTTGTAAAGGAGATAAAAAGGCTTGTATAATTAACAAAGCAAAAGAATTTGGCAAAAGGAAACTTGTGGAGGAGCACAAAGTTCAACTAGAGGTCTAAACGATAGTATATTATTTGAATTTGATTTAAATAAAATTTAAATATGATTGGATTATTATTAAATTAATTTTAAATTTGAATAAATTAATTTATTGATTGAGTTGAATTTAAATATTTTATATTTGATTGAAATAATTTATAGTTTAATCGAATTTTTATATTTTAATTATTTTAATTAATAAAATATTTTAAACTCAAATTTGAGCATAATCAAGATTTTATTAAATATAAAAATTAAATTTATTTTTATATATTAATCGAGTCTAATCAAACGAACATAAATAATTTAATTTTTATCTCGAATTAAATTTATGTTAAAAATAAAATTTGATCAAATTTAAAATGATTTTTTAATCTCAAATTTATACTTAAATTTAAATTTAATTTTATCTCAACTCAAATTCGATCTATTACGCTCTTAAATTCAATACTTAAAGAAAATTTCTATGGGCTCGTCCGTGGCCTTGAATTATTATTCTGAAATTCGTTTCTCATAGCTTTTACGAGTGCTTTGGCACACCAGAGTAACTATTCATCTCTTTTGTTGGATCTTCCAATTCGAGCAATTGAAGTCCTATGCGAAAACCTTTAAGGCCTCCGTTTGTGGAGATGATAGAAAAATCATCACAATTTACTCCATAATTAATTTTGGGCAATTAAAAATAACGTTAATGCTAGTTTTTTAGAACAGTGTAGACTACAAAGGACCATATATATATATATATAGTAACCACATAAACCATCGCTAGATAACATCAATTTCCTCATGACTGCCTATGTCTTTTGGACCACATTACTGATTAGCTTTGCTATGACCTAGCTGCTGGGCATGTTAATCGTGCTAACTAAAATTCAATGCAGGAGGCTTTTTTACTAGTTTTGCTGAATCTCGGTTACTATTTCATCATTTAAAGCAAATTAAATACTTTTAAATAAGACACGATAATAGATATAAAAATAATATAATTTAAAATTTTAATAAAAATTATAATATATTTTAGATTTGATATATTATATGAATTATAATATAATAATTTTTATATTTTATATCGTATTTAACATAAAATAAAGACAAAATAAATACATGAATTACCGAATTTAATTTCAAATCATACATATAATAGCAACTGCCCTCCGGATCATCGAGTAAAAGCAAGGATTCTTTTCTAAATTGGCATCTCAGCATCTTGCTTTAATTCTTTGTCTCTGAAAAAGGTTGAAGCCAACATCTGGCACTCTGGCTGGCATGACTAGAAGAAAAGAACTCTGGACACCCTGCCACTGAGGATTCTGGAAGTTGGTGAAATGGGCTCTAAACCCAGGCTGAACTGAATGGGGCAGTTTCTTCGAATGAGACATTCTTTTTTATGGTAGATATGATCAAGTTAGACGTAACTATTACTCTAGAGGCTGTTAACCACTAATGGATTTTAAGTATTTATGGAAGTATCAAGCATCGCCATGAACTAATAAGCTTTGACTTAATATGTTCGACACACCATGTTTGAAAACTTTCAATGCCTCAGAGAATCAATTATGTCAGGATTCGGAATCAATGCTGATATAATTATATAAACCCTCTGTCCTTCTCTGACTTCAATGCCTTTTTTTTGGGGTCACATTCAATTCGTGCAATTATTTGGTGAGTTCATCATTGGCGATGGCCTGGTAGGGCACCATTGGGTCCTGGAAAGAGAAAGGAAGGTGTGGGACTGGCCGGCTGGAAGTCGAAGAAATAAAAAGAGTGAGGTTTGATTTTCTAGCATCCAGGCCTATGAAAGGTAGGATCGTGAAAAAAAGGCCGAAAAGATTATGAACCTTTAACCCAAACTTAAAAAAGTATTAAGTCCACTATTCTCTTGTTCAGCTCAGAAAAGGGCCCAAAATTTCAAGCCCGAGGAGAGCAATGCCATTTGGACAAATGATTTGGTCAGATTAGTGAGTGTGTGAATATAAAAGGAGGCTAGGGTTGGCGCTTGCTCATCGTCGCCGACTGCATACTGACAAACCTTAGCAGGAAAGAGAGAAGTCTCACCACCACCGTCGTCACCATGGGTCGTATGCACAGTCGCGGGTATCTTCCTACTCCTCTCTCTTTCCCTCTCTGTCTCTCTATGTGTATATTTCTACGTTTACTTATTTACATATTAACATTGTCCCTTTGTTGCAGTAAGGGTATTTCTGCTTCAGCTCTGCCTTATAAGAGAACCCCACCAAGCTGGCTCAAGATCTCTTCTCAAGATGTGAGTACTTAATCCTTTTTAGATTCGTTTCTGACAGAAATGCTGATGAAAATTTCTTATGATTTAATGTTAATGTGTTCAGGTTGAGGATAACATTTGCAAGTTTGCAAAGAAGGGCTTGACCCCATCTCAGATTGGTGTCATTCTTCGTGATTCTCATGGCATTGCCCAGGTTAAGAGCGTTACTGGAAGCAAGATCTTGCGTATCCTTAAGGCCCACGGTAATATATTCTTCTTCCCTTTGATTTTGTGATTAGTCAATTTTTGTTTGTTATCTTGGTTGCAGCAAATTATTTTATGTCTTACAAATTTCTATTAGCATAGAGTTTTAGGCTTTTAGCTGGAAAATATTCACTGAATATGCTAAGACTAACATATTGAGTTATGGGATTATTTTTGATGTGATATTAGTTTATTGTTTCCATAGGTCTTGCCCCTGAAATTCCTGAGGATTTGTACCACCTCATCAAGAAGGCTGTTGCCATCCGCAAGCATTTGGAGAGAAACAGGAAGGATAAGGATTCCAAGTTCAGGTTGATCCTTGTTGAGAGTAGGATTCACAGGCTCGCTCGCTATTACAAAAAAACAAAGAAGCTTCCTCCTGTCTGGAAATAGTAAGTCTGCATAACTGTTTATAGATTTTTGCTTTTTTTTATTGAGATATTAATTGGTGATATAGTGATTACATCAGCTATTGCTTTCAATGTACATGGTCCAATTATAATTAACATCTTTTTAAGATCACACTCTAAGCTTGTCTACAATTAATGTCTATTTGGTGAACTGGGATTGTTAAGTCTATTCCTTTATGCATGTTATTTTTAGCTTGGCGTGCAATGCAGTATGTTATGATGGTGCAAGGGATGAACTTAAAAGTTATCACCATACTTGCATAATCCCATTAAAAAAAGGTTATTCGTTTACATGGTTCTATGAAATGATTTTCAATTAAAATATTATCCTGCCTGTTTAGCTCTATGTAATACATGAATCTCTTAGCATGGGTTGCTTGAAATCCATTTATATAAGAATTTGAGGGAAGTGTTAGAATATATGTACAAGCTTCATTTCAGTAAATGATTTGGTTTACATTGTCTTGTGTAAATATGTAAACTGTAGCATTAGATCATCTTGAAAGCATTTTTAGCGGAAAAACAGACGTATTAATTTGACTTATATTTGATTCATTAGTTTAGTTGGTACTGTTCTTGATTATAGATATATTATGTGTCTATTCCTCTATATCTTGCCTGTATATATGTTTTTTTCTAAGCTTTATGGTGCAATACTGATTCAACTTCTTGGTATGCAGTGAATCTACAACTGCCAGCACTCTTGTTGCTTAAGTTGGGCATGTGGGTTAGTGCAATTTTGGGGTATCCTGATTCAATGTGGATGCTCTGAGTTAGCTAGGTCGTGTTTTCATGTTCTATTGAGATTTGTCCTGATTTAAGACTTTATTCATAGCTGTTAAAATTTTGTTATGTCTGAAAAGAGAGTCAAGAATTTGTTTTCCTTCTGATTCTACTCCATTTTCTTTTGTCCTCTGGTATTTATTTAACATTTGAAGCAAGGAATCCTTTGATTTTGAAATCTAAGCTGCATCTATTTCCTACATTATTGTAAATGGGGATTGCTGAAATGAGTTTAGCCTTCCCCTCTGGCCTTTAGGAAGGAGTTAGTGTTTTTTAGTTTTGACCATTAAGCTGGTTATGGTGTGTGAATAGGCATTTTGTGTTCAACAATAGTCGCTATTAACAGCATTAACATGGACTTTTTAACTTACTGTTTAAAGTTTGAATTCTTTTGGTGATGGCTAGTTGCTAGGTTCGGAATTGCAACTGTGTAAAATGATGATAGAATGCTTTGAAGTATCAACTTTTGAAAGAATGGCTGGTCATATTATTTTGGTTTAAAAACAAATTCTATCTTGCGATAGGTGCTGCTATACAAATTAGTCTGATTTTATGTTGTATTGTTATTTCTTTCGGTTGCAACGTGTTGAAGTGAAAAATGATAGAATTCAGGATTGGTATGTTGTTGATTGTATAATTATTTGTTGGCAAGGAATCTTAATTTTTATTTTTTGAAGCAAGATTAGACAATATTAAAATCCATCCTAGAAAAGTAATTATTACCAGAATGAACCCTTTAACTCAGCACAACAAAATATTTGGGCATAATGAAGTCAATTTTCTTTCATTCTCCAAATAGGGGGAAGTAATTAAGGGGAGGCAGGAAGGGTATCTTGTACAGCATTAGGCAAAAACCACTGAAAATGAAGAGAAGATTCGGCAATATGAAAAAAAAAAAAAAAAGAGAAAAATAATTAAAAAAATTGGATAGTGGATAAAAATTAATTGATATGCTAGATTGTGATTAAAAGGAAAAATAAGTGAAAATGATATACAGAAAGTGGAAAGTGTCTTATTGTTTTTTAATCTCAAGGTGGTTAAAACTTAAGGAAAGCTTTTTATAATAGCAAGTGAGATCGAAATTTAGAGGATAAAGAAAAAAAAATTATTACAAGTGCTGGAGATTAAAATTGAGGTTTAACTAAAATCATTAACAATTTCTTTTACAAATTACAAGTGTCCGTCCCATTGATGATGAGATTTGAAAATAAGTTAAGGCTGGCTGGTCATTTTTAACCTGGTAGGGAACTGGGCTAATGTGCCGTTATTTGATTGGGCTTCTCATCAATAAACAAAAGCACAGGAGTTCCATCGTTTTAATTTTTAACACCAACGCGCAAAAACGAGACCGATAATCATAAACCCTAGAAAAACCCAAACCAAAGCAAAGAGAATGGTGGTGGGGCTTTGGCAATTCACGGCAAGAGCCAGCAACGGTGCTGGAGAACCAGTTCTCGATCCTGATAACGGCGAGGAGCTTGTTCATGTCCAAGCTTCCGTTTCCATTGCACTCGGGAATCGTGCCCCGGAATACCCTGGCACTCTCTACATCACCACCAAGTACCATCAAATTTCTCTCCTATTACACAAATTGTTTCATGTAATCAACATCGTTTTAATTCCCTTGAAACTGAAGATTATGGGTTTTGTGTTTTGGGTCGTTGCAGGCAAGTGATTTGGCTGAGTGATGTGGACCGAGCAAAGGGCTACGCCGTTGATTTCTTGTCTCTGTCGCTGCATGCTGTATCAAGGGACCCGGAGGCTTACCATTCTCCCTGTATCTACACTCAGGTTTTCTAATGCTTATGTATATATATGTATATATGTGTGTACGTGCGCGCGCGTATATTTATCTCTTCTGTTTACTGAGGAAAAAACACTTTCCTTTGCTTTTATTAAGTATTTTCGGTTTTGTAATGCTTTTGGTTAATAATCATGCTCATGCTGTTCTTTCAATTGATCAAAACTGTAAAATTAAATTTGTATTTTGCAGTAAGCTCTTTTTATGCAGTAGTATCTTTTTGTTTATTTATGACTGTTTGATTGCTTGGATGCTAGTTTAAATTTCGTTGATTGGTGAAAAGAAACCTGGGGAAAGCGAAATTTGTTAAGGATTGGTGGATATGTGCAACTAGGCTGATGAAACGGGCAATGCAGTGGCTTCAAACCTTACTAGTTATTTCTTAGGTTAAACTGTTCAATAGGCCACGGATTTAGCCCAACACACTCGCAGAAAATCTGAAACAGAGTATCCACTATCACAGAATAGAACATTATAAAAGTCAGCATTCAGCATGACTAAAGATATAAAGAGCATAACAACAATCTAAGCATTAGGAAACATCATCTAGTCTCATTGAACTTTTTTCAAATTATGGGTTGAAACAAAATTATAATTTAGGAGTGATCAGGAAAGCTCTAAACTCTAATTTTGGACAACCTACTTTTTATTATCAGTAAAGTTTAAAGATTGTAAATTTAAAATGCATTGTAATAACCATTTTCATTTCGTGTTTAGTCAACTTCTTTCTTCATTTTGACAGGTGATATGCAATGTTTTTGCTTCCCAATAAGCACTTGTAATACATGCTTTTTCCATTTATTGAAAGTCCTCTCTCTCTTTTTCTCTTTTTCCCTCATGTTAAGCTGCTGGTGCCCCGGTTTTTTCTTCGGTGTTTTCTTCTATTATTAGCGTGCTCCTTTCCTCCCTTTATACTTTATCTGATTTTTTTTCTTTTTTTTTTGTCCCAAGATTGAAACTGAAGCTGATGAAGATGAGTCTGAGGATTTGGATTCAGAATGTAATGAGGTTTTAGATTTAACCAAGGTCACAGAGATGCGGCTTATTCCTTCAGATGTTAGCCATTGTATGTATATTTAAGTGTTGTCCTCTACTAATGCTTAGATTGTTGTTATGCTGTTTTTATCTTTAGTCATGCTGAATGCTGACTTTTATATTCATTTATTCTGTGATAGTGGATACTCTGTTTCAGATTTTCTGTGAGTGTGCTGAGCTAAATCCGGAGCCTATTGAAGGTGAGTTCCATTTCCCAGTTTCCTTGTGGAGTTGTAAATTGAGAAATTTTCTACTGTTGTATGGGCATGCTTCCTCCCTTGATCGAATGGTGATTTACTGTTATTTATGCTATCTTTAGAAGGAGAAGAAGAAGAACATAATTGGATTTTTAGTGCTGATCAGTTAGAAGATGAAACTGGAGGTATGGGATAGACAACATCCATACCTTCTGAAATGTCTTTCCATAGTTTCCTTTATGTGCTTGCATGTAGTATGCATCTCAAATAACATATTTTATCTCCAGAGGGTGATGGTCCCGAATGGCATTTCCCCCAGAATCTGACAAACTCAATTGGTCATTCAAATGGTGATGATGACCTAGCTCACACAGTACTTGAGGTATGCTTTTGAATGTTCATTGTACGGGGTGCTGGGAGGTCTTCTGTAATTCATTCCTAGTTTATGAACTTCATCTATTATTTCCCTTTGAATCAACAGCAACGCTTTTACCAATTGAAACTTTTCTAATAGAATTTTTATTGTGTATATTTTGTCTGTTATTTTTATTTTGTATCAATTTTTCTTTCAGAGTAGTATTTTTTTTAATGTTTACTATTCTTTTTCATTCCTTCTATTTTGTCTACAACTTGTGGTTTGTCTCATTTAGCATGTATTCTATTATTCATTTTAGTTGACAACAAATTTTAGGGCTCTGATTAGATTGAACTTATCTAACAGGAACTTCTTATCTACATTTTCATTGCTTTACTTTTAGAGTTTTCTTGCATACTTTTTTCGCTGCTTCATGCTTTGCTTCTTAGGCTTGTCTCATTTATCCCATTTCTGCAAAATCTTGCAGCTTCAAATCAATGATCAACGCTTCGACGATGCGGAAGAGATGGAACAAGCTAGTGATAGGAGTCATCATCATCAGTGAGCTCCCTTGTGACCGTTGCCTTTCAATCCATATGCCGGAATTTCAAATTATGGCAGGAGTGAATTGAATGCAAGTGTTGCCTTCTAATGTATTTTTCATCAATACCCTAGACTTTGTTGTCTATCCTTTAAAATGACCCAAACAAGATGCCATGATGGCAATGTTTTCTTTTTTTTAAAAAAAAGAAAATAACTTGCACTTTTAAATTATTTTCTTCATATATTTCATTTTATCATTCACAGATCAGGCATTGCTTGCAGAAAATACCAGATAACGATTAATGTGGAAAAATGTGTCCGTACCCTTCATTCTATGAGGTTAGAGTCTGGACAAAAGGGTCGTTGGGGGACGCTTTAAATAGCGGGACATGCCTTTTCACTGCAATTGATTAAATGCGTCAGAAGCACAGATTTTGAATCGATTCATCAAATTGGCGTCAGAAGCACAGTTCTGCAACATGCTTTTGGCGAGAGGGTTAATGGCATTTGTTGAAATATCATTGAGACCAATTTGTTGAAATATTCTTGCTGTTGGAAATTTCGGTTGGGGTTTGTGGGTAGTTTATAAATTATAATAAAAATATTTACTATGATATTTAAATTTTAAAAATTTTAATATAGCATTTAAAATATGAAATTATTAATTAATAAAATTATTTATTTATTTATTCTCATTTGAAGTTAATTACATAAAAAATAAGTATCATATTAATTAATAATTTAAATATCATATCAAAAACATTTAAAATTTAATTATATTCAATATTTTTATCATAAATCAATCATAATGTTAAGTATTTTGGTTTTGATAACATGTATTTAAGTCTTTTGGTTACGATAGTGTGCATATTCTTGTCCATGACATTAACATAATAATTAAATGATAGTGTGCATTTAAGTCGATCGTGTTCACATTAACGCACATGGTATTGACAAAATAATTAAATAGATTAAATATAAAAATAATTCTCGTATTATATTTTTTGTCAATTTAAAATTTATAAAAATATAATTTTTAGTTCGATATTTTAATTTTTATTCCATCCTTTATTTTAATACCTAAAATTAACACTGTTAGTTAATTTTTAATACGACATAAACATTTAATAAAATACTAATATACGTCAAAAAAATCTAATCAACACTACATCATTAATTGTCATTCAGTATTTTAAAAAATTCTAAAAAACTCACAAATATTAAAACAATTCAAAAAAATTTTAAAAAGTCTAAAGTTTTTTAAAAATTATAAAAATAAATAAAAATAAAATATTTAAAAAAATTTTAAAATATATGAAAACTTTAAAATTAAAAAAAGTCAAAATTTTAATAAAAAAATACAAAACTTAAATTTTTTTGAAAAATTCAAAAAAATAAAAATTTTAATAAAATTAATATTTTCCTAAATTTAAAAAAAATCACAAAATTTTAAAAAATTGAAAATAATAATAAAAAAAATTGAACAAAATCTAAAATTTTTAAAAATTGTAAAAAAATTTTCAAAAATTGTGAAATTTTTCATTATTTTAATGTTACAATTTTAATTGTTTTTTGGATTTTTTATTAAAATTTTAAGTTTTTTATTTTTCTTAATCTTTTTTATTTGTTATAAAATTTTAGCATATTTCAATTTTTTGAAAATTTTTAATTTTTCATAATTTTTTAAAAATTTTAAGAATTTTTTATTAAATTTTCATATTTTAAAAAAGTAGATTTTTTTAATTTCAAAATTTTTCAAAAAATTTAGATTTTTTATTTTAGATTTTTTTTTTAATTTGAAGAAATTTTTATTTCTATTACAATTTTTTAATTTTTATTAAATTTTTTAATTTTTTGAATTTTTTAAATTTAATAATTTTTATAATTTGTAAAAATGATTTTTTTCTTTAATCTTTACTAATTTCTAAAAACTAACTTATTATATGTTTATGCAATATCAACAAGTTGATTAACGACAATTTGAAGTACTAAAGTGGATGACGAAATGAAAGTTTAAGTTTCAAATTGACAATTTTATTTGTTTAGATACTAAATTTAAAAAATGTATAATGCATGGGCTATTTTTATATTTAATCTTATAAAATTAGTTTCTATATTATATATTTTTTATCAATTTGGTACCTAAAAAATAAAATTGTCAACGTGGTACTTCCATATTCGTTCCTCCAACTACTTTAGCATCAGAAACTAATGACGTCAATTAATTTACAAATGTAACATTAATGTTCAATAAGATTTTGACATATATAAAAAAAGTTAAGTTAATGCTACATCATTAATTGCTATATAAGCATTAAAAGAAAATTTATAAAAAATTATTTAAAAAATCTAAAAAATTTTAAAGAGTTTAAAAAAAATTATAAAAAATTATAAAAACTGAAATGTTTTTAAAAAATTTAAAAATTATGAAAACTTTAAAAATTCAGAAAATCTCTAAATTTTAATAAAAAATCCAAAAAATAAAATTTTTGAAAATTTGAACAAATAACTATTTAAAATTTAAAAAAACTCACAAAAACTTTTAAAATTTTGAAAAAAATTGTAATTTTGAAAAAAATTGTAATTTTTTTATAAAATTCTTTAATTTTTTCAATTTTTTGAATGTTACAATTTTAATTTCTTATATATTTTTTGCATTTTTCAAAGTTTGTTTTAAATATTTTGGATTTTTTTACTAAAATTTTAATTTTTTATTTTTTATAATTTTATCTTTAATCTTTATTATGTTTCCAATTTTTAAAATTTTTTAGTTTTTTCAAAAAAAATTTAATATTAACATTTTTTCAAAAAATTTTATAATTTTTAATATTCTTAAAAAATGTTAGACTTTTTAACTTTAGTTTTTTTTAAAAAAATTTTGTGAATCTTTTTTTGAATTTTAAGAAAATTTATTTTTGTGAAAATTTTTATTTTTGAAATTTCTTAGAACTTTTTTTCTATTTTTTATTTTTTTTAATTTCTTTTTTCTTTTTTGAATTTTTTAAAATTTCATAAATTTTTTAAAATTTTTTATAATTTTTAAAAGTATTTCAATTTTTTTACCTTTTATAATTTTTAAAATATTTCATATTTTTTCAAAAATTTTTAGATTTTTTAATTTCTTTGAATTTTTTAAAATTTTTTAAAATTTAATTAAATACCTATACAACAATTGATGGTGTGATGTGATAATTCTAAATTTTATAGAATTATCCTTTGCTTAATTATATGAATTTTACCATTTTAGACTTAATTTTAGCTTATTCCTTAACAAATTTTTACAAATTCTCTTAAATTTGTTTATTTTGTCTTTTGTATAGGATTACTAAGCCAAAAATACATAATCAAAGTCAAAGAAAAGGAGGGACAAAAATTTCCATGAACTAAAAACCTTAAAGCCAAATCATAGAAAATTATAGATGCACTTCACCTTGCTAAACCATAAACGTGCATAATGCTTGGACCTTTTGATGATGCATGAGGACCTATGGACATCAATGGTTAGTGAATGAGGAAGAAAAGGAAGCTGCCAAGTTATGAGATGAGGTGTTTGAAAAAAATTTAAATCATTAACATGAGATGACAAAATGTTGCTGCCTTATCCATACGCTATCACGTGGTTAACATTACATTCTTCCAACTTGAATAGAAAATATGAAGGAACTGACTTGGCATATTGTAGCATAAGGATTGGCTAATATTTGAGACCCTTGAATCATCATTTGGTTAGCACCTTAAATGAAGAAAAATCAACCGTAAAATAGTAGCTACCGTTCCATTGGAATCACATCCAAATGATGCTACAAACTTGTGGAGTGGTATTGATTCGACTGATGATGATTGGTTGCAAGATGAAGCCCTATTTGTCTACACTTTAAGCCATTTTAATGTTCCATGAAAAGAAGCCTTAGAGAGCTATGCTAATGTACAAGAAAAATGAAAGAAAATTTCAGCTGTTCATTGTACAAAAAAATTAAAAAAATTTTTATTGTTTTCTTGCTCCATACATCATAGTTTTTGCTTGAAATTTAAAAGAAAAAAAATTAACTGATTCAGAAGAGTTTCAAGTTGGTTCTAGAGTTTAAAAAAAGAGGAAAGCCAAGCTAACAAGCCATAAGTCAAGCCAAATTTGAGTAAAAAGAATCGGCAAAAAAGGAGAAAGAAAAAAGAATAAATTACAAATCAAGCTACAAGTGAAAACACAATGAAAAATAATAGTCAAGCATGGTTACTGATTTGCATGACTCAAGAAACCATTTATGGCTTACAAAAGACCTAGGGCTAGAAAATATGACATTTTAAGGAGACAAAAAAGGGAAACCAATTGTTTGTATCATTTTTTCTTCCTTCATTTTCAATTTTCACGTCTTTGGTAAAACAACCTTTTTTTTTTTTTTTTTACTTTATTGTGACTTTTGGGGATCATTTTTGCTTGTTTTGAGATACTTATTTTGAGCTTGACTTAGGTTTAAAGAGGGAACTTTTGGTTTAAGACTATTTTTTTTTATTTTTACTTTTGTTTTTCCTTAACAATTTTGACAATGAATTTTTAGCTTTCCTTTTTAGTTTTTCCCAACTTTGGCTCTTTCTATTTTCTACCTTAGTTTGTTTTATATTTGAGCTTTTGATTGGAAGAAGAGAATAGTCAAAGGTGGCTTTCATTTAAGAAAATTCTCATGGCAGCCTAAGAGACTTGATTCTTTCTTTTTATCTTCATTTCATGCTTTATCATTTTGTATTAATTTTTGCCCAATTTTTTTTTTATTTTATGTTCCATCTTGTGGTTTTTGGTGCATGTTTTTATGATGTTTTTACATTGATAATATGATAAAAAAAAAATATTGGTTTAATGTTTAGTGAAATGGTTAGGAAGTAGTTTTGGTTTTCATGCATTTTTCTTTACTAGTTTTCAAAACTGTTTTGCATCTATTTTTTATTTTGTTTTAGTGAAGTTCCCTTGCATATTTTTTGTTCATTTCATGTCTATTTTAATATTCTAGGTTAGATTTCATGTTGCATTTGTATATATTTTTTTTAATTTTAGGTAGCATTTAGCCTTATAAAATTTTATTTTATGCTTTTATTTTGCTTTCAATTTGAACACTGTTTTGCTCATTTTCTAGTTAGTTTTAGGCAAAGCTTTCTTACGCTTTTTTTTTTTGCATTTCTTATGTCTATTTGAAGGTATTAAAATAGTTTTTGCAAATTCTTTAGGTAAGATCACATTTACATAGCATTTTAGACCATAAGTTGCATGTAGTGTGCATTTTTAAGTTTGGTTTTATACTATTTTTTTTTACCTAATTTGATTCAATTTTTGCATTAGCTTCCTATAGGTTTTTGGTCTTATTTTAAGTTTGTTTTAATTTACACAAGGAACATTTAGTGTTTGCATCTATTAAGGTCATATTTTGTTTCGGTTAAGCTACACATGTTGCATTTTAGTTCAATTTGAGAGTTTCCCCATTTTCTATCTAAATTAGTTGTTCTTTCTAGCATTTTTCATATCAATTTTATTTAGCTTAGCTTAGGTTTAATTTTGGTTGAATGCCTTAGAATTTAGGTAAGTTAATTTAAGAGATTGTATGTAGTACATTACGTGTTCAGTAAAATACCTTAATGAAAATTGATGGCTTTACATTAAGATTTTAGTTTAGCTTTTGTGTATTCTTTAATTTTTATTCTTAGGACATCATTCCATGCATTTCCATGTCAATTTCCTATTTAATTTTTGTTTTACATTTTAGTTTGCATCTTAGGTTAAGTTAGGAATTTACTTAGATTAATTTTAAATTAAAAATGCTAATTTTGCTTTTTATGTTTTGTTAGGTTAATTTTTATTTTTATTGTTGAATTCAAGTTCTATTTTTATCCCTTTGCTCTTTAATTTCAATTTTAATTTATGCATTTAATTATGTTTAATTTAATTTTTGATTTTTTCGCTTTTCATTTTTAATAACTTGGCATTTTAGAAAATTATTTTTTTTTGTAATTTTCCCTATAAATCTTTAACCTCCATAATTTTTAGTTAAATTTAGGTTTTAATTATCTAATAATTTAAGATTTATTTAGGTTAATTAGATCATTTTCACAATTTTGTAAGATCAGATATATCTGAAATGTTAAAATCGATACTAAATTCTAAGTCTATAGTACTTATTGAAATTTTGAAGAGATGATAATTCAAAATACTTCTAATTTTTATTATTTTTGTGATCCGTACACTTGTAGTACTCCTAAAGGAAAGCAACATGACATTGATTAGATAGTTTAACAAGTGTCAGCATCCTACTCGATGTTCATGTTATGTCAACAAGTTGACTAACGTTATTAATCCGAGGTACCAAAATAGAAGAATAAAAGTTGGAGTACCAAACTAATAATTTTATTTATTTAGATACTAAACTAACAAAAAAATATAATATAAGAGTCAATTTTATGTTTAACCTTAATTAAATCGCCAATGGACCATGGCTCATCAATGCATCAATGACCGACCCTTATTTTATAGTAGGTTAATATGTAAAATATCTCGAATACTATTCATCTTATGTCAATTTAATACTTAAATAAATAAAATTTTTACTTTGGTACTTTGATATGTATTCCATCAAGCACTTTAGTACATTACATTGTTATTATCAATTAAATGATTAATGTAACATAAGTGCTTAATAAAATCATGACACTTGTTATAAATATTCAATTATCATCACATCAACCAAAAATTTAAAAAATAAAAAATATTTTTTTAAAATAAAAATTTTAAAAAAAATGACATAGAAAATAGATAATGTGGTAATGATCAAATATTTATGTGTGCCACACGTCATTATTTTATTAAGTATTAATGTCACATCAATAACTTGATTAAGGTGTTAGTTAAGATTAACAAAATGTTTGATGGAATGAAAGTTTGAATGCAAAAATGATAATTTTATTTTTTTAGATATAAGATTGATAGAAAATATATAACATAGAAATGCGAAAACGAGAATTTTATTTCTTTATATATCCAATTAACAAAAAATATATGATATAAGAATATTTTCATATTTAACCCTTTATGGTATCATCAATCACTATTGGGAGCTTATATCATGTCATCGTGAAAATTTTGTGATAATTAATTTGACATGGATTAGCTTAGACGCATACGACACATAAATAATGATAAATTACGATACATAAATCATTACCTCACTTTTGACTTTTGAATTTAATATTTAAAATTAAAAATATTATTTAATGTAATGAAATTTTTTAATTTTACAAATAAAATAAAAATGGTAGCATATATCTTTTTTTTAATTATTTTTTTATTTTCAATATATATTCTAAAAAATATATGTCATCAACGAAGTAAAAAACTTTTACTGTAAATATATTTGATAATTTTTCTTAAAATTACATTATAACACTATAATTTTAATACATTAAAACTATCTTACGCAACAACCGTATTTAATAAAAAATATTACTCCATAATTAATATCTTATCTAATTAAAAATATACATAAATGTTATCATCATCAATACTTCATTTTAAAAAACAAAACATCATCATTATCTATTTGTTATACTTAACAAGGGACATCCACTAGAGATTAGGTCAAGAGAAGGTTTTTTAAGTTAAGTTTGTTAGCTTTTCTGTTCAAAATATATTAAATTAAAATTAAAATTAAAAATTATAATATATAAAATTAAATACATTGTTTAATAGTGTATAAATTTTGAGAATTTTTTTAATAAATTTTGATAATTTTAATATAAATAGTTTTATAAAAATTTTTAAAAGTTTTTATTTTTAAATAAATAGGAATCAAATTTTGATTATAAACTATATTTATAACAAGTTTCTTACATATCATTAATCGTGATAACTCTTTAAATAAATAAATTTTGATATAATCATTTTTAACAAGAAACCTAAGGAACATTTACCTTGTGGAAAACCATGTTCAGAAGAGCTGAGTTACATATACAGTGATGGATCTTGACATTTATCTTTAAGGGGGTCAATTAATATTATGTTTTAATCTAATTTTTATAAAACATATTTTATTATATTTCTATAAAAAATATATATTTTACATATTTATTAATATAAATGTATATGTTTAAAAAATATATTAAAAAATGAGTTTATAAAATTATAAAAGAAAAAATCACTATAACACATTTAAAAATAACATAACTTTTTAAATTAATAGTAGAATTATTAATTACATAACCTTTTAATAAAATATGAAAATTTTCTTTTTTTTTTACAGTTTAAAGTTAAAATAAAAAGTGCACAAATCAATATTTTTATAGGCATAAATGGACCATTAAAAAAAATATACAAACAAGAAAAATAAATACACTTTTAAAAAATGAAGTTGAAACTTTTGAGATTGAAAATCAATGGTGTTTATTTTATTTTATTTTTAACTTTTTAATGTGATTTGAATATGATTTTTGTGTTAGAAAAATATTACAAGATAACATGACACAAAATCAAGATTAATTAAAAATGAAATCTGATATGGACAAGAAAAATTGTAATTAGCTAAAAAGAACAGAAAAAATGTTAACAATCATGTGATCTGTTGATAAAATATTAAATTTTTAATTTCAGTAAATAAAATTTAATTCTTGACAAAAAAAACATATTTAATACTTGATTAGAGACTTAGTATTGTTGAGAAAAACAGAAAGTTAAAATCAAATTATTGTGATTTAAAATAAACAACAAAATTTTTTATTTTAAAAATTTCTAAATAATGATTAATGGATATAATAAAAAAAAACAAATAGTAATGTAATTTTAACCCTTTAATTAAAATGCAAGTAACAAAATTGAATTACGAAATCATAAAAAAATTAATATTTTTAATTTGGAGATCAATTTAAATTTGTTACATATACTAAAGGGTTTAAAAAAAATTTTGAGGAGCCAAGGCCCCCTCAACCACGCATTACCAGCCGCCCTGGTATACATAAGTCCATTTGTTCTGCTTTCTCTATTCGGAACAGATATACTCAATGATGTCGAACTTGTATGATAAGGTTGCAGTTATTGCCTGTGAGGAATTGGAGACGGTGGTTGGGAACCAAAACATTGTAGAAGAGTCTCATCTTCCTCGACTGCTATATTTGGAAGCAGTTGCAAAGGAGACACTCCGAATTCATCCTGCTGCTCCATTGCTAGTGCCTCACATGCCCAGCAAGACTTGCGTTGTGGCTGGATATACCATCCCTAAACATTCCAGGGTTGCATGGGCAACACAAAGGGACCCTGAGTTTTGGGAAGGTCCTCTTGAATTTGAACCTGAGAGATTCTTGAAGGACACTGAGAAAGGTAATTATGTAGGAAACAATTTCCATTTTTTTCCAATTGGATCGGGGAGGAGAACTTGTGTTGGAATTCCTTTGGCAGAAAAAATGGTGGCGTACGTGTTAGCTGTCTTGGTGTATTCTTTTGAATGGGAATTGCCTGATATAAAAGAAAAACTAAGATTTGTCTTGTCGAAAGTGGAATCCCTTGCTGCAATACCCATTGCACGTTTATCTATTCCACAGTTATACCGATGAGAGTGCATTTGGAATATAAAATTGTGATAGGATAGAATAAAATAATTATGAAAGAAATTATATTAAATAATATTATTTTAATTTATATTTGATATGTGTAATAATTATTATAAAATAATTTTATATATTGATGAAAATTATTTTTTTAAAAGTCTATATAATTTAAATTATTAATATAATTTTTAAAATATAATAAAATATATAATTTCAATTTCATGAATGAAAAAAATATATTTTTATTTTGAAATGATTAGATTATCACATGTCAAAATAATGATAATTTTTTTTATAAATTTAATTTATTTTTTTATACAAGTCAAACATGATATAAAATAATTATTATTTTATCTATCAATTATTTATGCATCAAACATAATTTAAAAATATATTTGAATTTCTTCTTTCAAAATATATCAATGTGATAAGAAATACAAAAGAGATGATTGGGGGCATTTTTCTTTTTATTTATTTATTTTTTGGAGATGCAAATGAAAAGTGAATATGGCGCAGTTAAAAGCAGCTCCCTACAGTCTTCACCCAATCTTGTGGCACCTATTTTTCTTTTTATCTTTAAATAGAAACAACAATAATGTATTGTGGTGGTATATGAAAAAGTAAATTTTGGGAACAAAATATCGTGATTTTTTTTTTCCATACTAAATACTGCAAAATGCGTCCTTGGCCACAAGAAGTCACCGAACATGCATATCTGTCTATAAGAGCTTGAAGTTCACTTCTTGGGCTTTGGCTATCTCCCAAACATATTCCTGAATTGCGACTAATTAGTTAATTAATCATGCCGAACTATCTCTTCGGTAAAGTTTCTGATCAATCCTGCGGCAGCTGGTCATGGTGCTGCTGCTGTAATGGACTGGCTGAGCACACCATCATCAGAACAGCAGCAACTCTTTTGGCAGCCGCACTAACTATTGCCTGTTGTGCACTGTGGGTTAAGAAATTCAATAAAAACATGCCGCCCTTGCCACCAGGTCCTCCAGGCTTGCCTATACTAGGAAACCTTCCTTTCCTCCAACCTGATTTGCATCAATATTTCTCCAAACTGGCTCAAATCTATGGCCCCGTTATCAAACTTCGGCTGGGAAGCAATATCTGCATAGTTATAAACTCAGCTTCAGTTGCCAAAGAGGTCCTAAAGGATCATGATGCAATCTTTGCCAACCGTGACATTCCCACAGCAGCTATAATCGCCACGTATGGTGGATCTGACGTGGCATGGAGACCTAATGACCCCGAATGGCGTAAGCTGCGTAAGCTTATTGTTCGAGAAATTTTGAGCAACACAAGCCTTGATGGTTGTTATGCGCTGCGTCGACGAGAGGTTCGAGAAATGGTGAAGGATATTTACGGGAAAGTTGGCTCATCACCGGTTAACATTGGTGACCAAATGTTCCTTACCATTTTAAATGTGATAACAAGCATGGTGTGGGGTGGTTCACTGCACGGAGAGGAAAGAAACAGGCTTGGCATTGAGTTTAGGCAAGTAGTTGTCGAGTTGGTTGAGTTGCTAGGAGTACCTAACATTTCTGAATTTTTTCCTTTTCTCACCCGTTTCGATTTACAAGGAGTTCAATCAAGAATGAAGAAGGTTTCGGCTTGGTTCGATGAGATTTTAGAATCAGTGATAGCACAGCGAGCAGAGGTTGAACAACCCAAGGGAGAGACCAAGGATTTTCTGCAGTTGTTGTTGGAGTTGAATCAACAAGGAGATTGTAAATCCTCATTATCCATGAATGAAGTTAAGGCTTTGGTGATGGTATGTTATCTAAAATCCTTCCAGACAATTTACACTCTTCAACAAAACCTATGATTTTCAAGTAATCTAATCTGTTCTGATCATATAGGATTTAGGACAATAGAATTATATTTAATCTGTTCTCATATCTTCAAGTAAGTTTTTTCTTTGTCAAGATTTTAATTATTAGGGTCTTCCTTTCCAGAAACATTTATTTAAAAATGAGATTTATAATCAACAATTCTACAATCATACTTATTTTGTAATGAAATGGAAATGGATGATTCAGGCATTGCTTCTAGTTGTTGATTATAGGCTTTTTATTTCAGTTTTGTACCTTCTATACAGCAATATTTTACTGGTAAAATTATATATGATATATTTGTTTAATCAACAAATGTCCTACAAATATTTGTCGTTATATATATTTGGCATTGAAAATTTATGATATTCAGGATATAATTATCGCCGGCACGGACACAACATCCACAACTGTAGAGTGGATAATGACAGAGTTACTACGGCATCCAGATAAAATGAGAAAAGCTGTTGAGGAATTGGACAGCGTGGTTGGAGACCAGAACAATATTGTAGAAGAGTCTCATCTTCCTCAACTAGTCTATTTAGATGCAGTAATAAAGGAAACACTTCGGTGTCATCCGCCTATTCCTCTGCTAGTACCTCGTAGTCCCAGCATGAGCTGCACCGTGGCTGGATATACCATCCCTAAAGATTCAAGAGTTTTATTTAATGCATGGGCGATACAAAGGGACCCTGAGTTTTGGGAAGATCCGCTTCAATTTGAACCTGAGAGATTCTTGAAAGATACTGAGAGAAGGAACTATCTGGGAAATAATTTCCACTTTCTTCCATTTGGATCAGGGAGGAGAATTTGTGTCGGTATTGCCATGGCAGAAAGAATGATGATGCACGTCTTGGCTGTCCTGCTGCATTCTTTTGAATGGAAATTGCCGGAGGGAAAAAAACCTGATACACAGGAGAAGTTTGGAATAGTTTTGAAGAAAATGGATCCACTGGTTATGATCCCCGTTGCGCGACTTTCTTATTTAGAGCAGTACCAATAAGATTATGTAATCTTATTGTAGTATTTTCCTTTGCTACAAAATGTATGAACATCGCGTTACTTTATTCGCTTTTGCTCCTTAAGAAATGACAAGGTGCACGCTTTGATATCTTTGAATATTGAATAATGTATACAAGTACTCCATCTGGAAGGCCGGATTATATGAAATTCCAGTTCTCTTGATGTATTTCTGTTATAGGTCGCTGTGGTGCACATGCAGCAGCACAAAAATCATGAAGTTCCTCAACTTCATTCTGTAGCTTTTTATTTTCTCTGCCTTTTCATATTGAATGCAATTTCGTCTATTGATATGGAATGTATCTACCATATGAGATTCTAAATTTACAGTAATAGCTTCTTCTTGTTGTTCATATCTACCATCTATGCTTTTAGAGAAATATTGAATGCTTTGGGAGAAAATTCGGCGCCCACTAGTGAACGACGATTGTGTACGACAGGCAGTATGAGGGCCTGATGTTGAGAGTTGGGTTAGGGTAACCGGATGGAAACTTAGGTTAGTCAGAGTGTAAGAGTTTTAAAAGGGTGTGGGTGAAGAAGAAATGAAAATTTTCAACGTTAAGCACCAACAAAATCATCTCACAATCGTAACATCAACAAACCAAGTTGATATTTTTATACATAAAAATTGAAAAGTTACCTGTTTAAATTTGGAAAAACAGACCCACGATAAGACTGCACGATTCAGAGCAAAACCACCATTTATAGCACTCTTAGTAAGTCTCACTAAGATTATTCTCCTAACCCCCCCTGTCGAAACTCCAGTCATGTATAAACCTTACCATCAACCAGAGGTTCTGCAAAGTCCAAACACGACCAAAAAGGTGCAACCATGTAATGCAAAAGGGAAACCAAAGGCAGCGAGTTCCTTGCTCGTTCTCCTCGATGGGTCCCTCACTAATCTTTGAAACAATTGATGAATATTGCTCATTTCATGATCTTTAAAGTCAAATAATGCATTAAATAAAATATCCAAACATAATCTTTAGGTAACAAAAAGGAAACAAAATCCGGAGCCACAAAACAGAATAGAATCTTCACTTGAACACTAGTATGGGAAAACACAAACAGCAAAAACCATATGCCATTTAAGAATCTGCAATGGTAACCTCCACCTCAACACCAGGTTCAATGGTGATAGAAGTGATCTGCTTGACCACATCAGGGGAGCTGAAGAGGTCAATAACTCGCTTGTGAACACGGAGCTCAAATCGATCCCATGTGTTTGTTCCTACAAAGCACACAAATTGTTTCATAAATTGTACAAACAAATTGCTCATGTTACATGAATCCCTTAGCATACATTACTTGATTGGCCTGCATCTCAAACCCCAGCCATAACCAACAGACACAATCAACAGATACAGTTGAAACGCAAGATCCCAACAATTACAATATCAAACTTATTAGAAACCAGTGGGCATCCAACTAAAAAGAAAACATACATAAACTCCATTTCTGTAGGCCAAACAAAACAATATGCACCAAGTAGCTCAAATATTCGAAGCTTCCATTACTAAGACAAGTTCAACATGTTTAACATGCAAAAAGCTAGCAAATGACAGTCCTTAGATTGTTCCAAAAGGATGGATGTATAATTCAAATTTTTGCTGGGGCCTGTTAACAGCAGTAAAGGTAGAGGGACAGGGCAAACATACACAAACACACAATCCTTAAAAGTAATCCTACATGGCGTTCTGATTACCAAGCAGACCAGAAAGATAGTATCATATTTTCTTTTATAACAAGACATAACCTCTAACTTTCATCTCCCAGAAAAAAGGAACTACAGAATTGATTTTAAGGACAGAGTAGGCTTTTAAACCATTCTCTCAATACAAAAAAACAAACATTCTAAATAAAAGCAACTAAGTTACATAAGCTGCATCATATCAGAGTCAGTTAGACGCAAAATAAGTAAATACCTTCACCACAGGGAGACTTCCTAGTTGTGATGTGAAGAACCTTGGTGGGCATTCTCACTGGTCCCTTAACTCTCAATCTCTTATCCTTGGCACCTCGAACCAAATCAGCACAAACTATCAATCAGACAGAAATAAATTAGATGCTAATTGTTAAGTGTATCAATTGAATACATATCATCACTCAAACAAAAGTACTGGATTATAAGAAACATTGTATATGAAATTATACCAAGGAAAAGGAAATTTATTAACAAAATTATAGAGACAACAACATAATAAATGAAACTATACTAGTTTCAGCAAACAAATAATTGCACCTTTTTCGAGGTTTTTCACATTCTTAGAAGAGAGAGTGATCCTGATCTTGTGAATCTGCTCCTGGGGCTCCTCCAAACCAGGCTTGGTAGGCTTCATTGCAGCATACGCCATCGTCCTTAACTTGAGTTTTGGCTTCTGTTCAGAACAATCAATTCCAATTAAAAAAAAAAAAAATCTCTCATCCAAAATTAATTTACATAATTCAAAATCTAAAACTAAGGGAATGAATCAACACATTGAATTCAATCACTAAATTCTAAATACTAAACTAAGAATGAAACAAGTATGAAAACAAGTTCATATGCAACAGAAAGCTGATCCTTTCCATTGAAAGAATAAAACATCTCCAGTAAAAGAATATATTGCAGAAATATAAGGTTTTAATCTAATGATTAGTGGGTTTTTACTTGTTTGATTGAAGATCCTCAAAATAGAAAAAGAGATGGGAGAACATACATACAGTATAATTAAAAAGAAAACCCAGAATAAAGACAAATCGAAGCCCCCATTCTAATGCAAGCTTTTTACAAATTATACGAAGAAACAGGGAAAAGTGAGATGGAAACCAGGAAGATTTGATGCAAGGGAATGTGAAGCTGCTGCCTGTGCTGCCTCTTTTCTCAAAACAGTGGAGAAATAAGAAGGAAAGCTTTGCAAAAGATATATATGTAGGGCGCTGAGCTTTATTACCAGGTTTAGGGTTTTTCGTCGGACCAGTTGTAGTGCGGATCGACTCAGGATGGTTCAAGTACAAACATCGGCTTTGCCCTCTCAATGTTGAGAATAATTTTGGGTTTTGACCCACGTTTCAGACACAACTGCTAATGAACTGGCCCAATACTATAAAAGGTTTAATTATCTTGATAAAACAAAAGTACAAAACCCTAGTTTGGCATTGATTTGGAGCCTATGACCTTAAATAAGCTAACGCCTGGCTCATATTGTGACCCTAACTCAGATATGATAATTCTAGCATTCGTATTAGAACTGATTTATTTCGACTACGTGTGCAACATAAATATTGTCTGTCATAATTCACATGATTATATGAAATAATTTTTTTATTTTGATCAAATATATATATATATAAAATTATTATTAAAATTTTAAATTATATATATATTTTTCATATGTTACTGTATCTATTTAAAATTATCAAATCTATTATTACACTTAATTTCTTGGAGGCAAAGCAAACTTGTTTCGAACAATAACCCTGGTAATAAAGACATGAATTCATAATCTTTCAATCCAATACGTTTTTTTTTTTCATTTTATATAACGTTTTTGTTTTTAAATGGAATACAGATTTTATTTTGCTATTAAAAGAAACTATGGCTATACCAGTGGCATATGAACCCATGAGGCCTACTAAGCCAGGTTTTGAGAAATTACATGAGCAAATTCGTAAGATAAAGATCATTCTTTCTTTAAAAAAATTGTGAAAAATCTGACGAAATGTATTGTCATATCTATTTTTAAAAAATTTATTAATTTTTTTTTGTAATAAGTTGAAATTTTATTTATTTAAAATTAACAGAATACTGCTTTAATGCAACAAATTACAATCCAGTTATTTATTAAGTTTATATCATTAAAAACAATGATTTGATTTTTGTTATCATTGAAATTGGTCATATCTGTTTAGAGCTTCTTTTTTTTTTTTGTGGGTGCAGAGTTTGAGGTTACTATTGCTGATGTTGAATTTTCAAGTAATAAACTCGGCATTGTTATTCTAATAGGTTAGCAGGGATTTTCAGATAAGTGGATATTTCTTAATGAGTTCACATGCCCGATTGATAGAATTTCCAGTCTTGTTGAAAGCATAGCATTGATTAAAATTTATATTGAATTTTCAAAGTTACAGGGTGAGCTAGAGTTTCAAAATCTTCATTGAACCAAAATAAATGCTACGTTCAGGACTCATGATTTGGAACGGAAAAGAATGTGCTAGTGATAATCTTTGTCCTCCACATAAACCATGGCTCTTCAATCTTAAGCTAAACACAAAGAGAATGAACTTTTAGCAGTGCCCTGGCCCACAAGGATTTGGACTCTTACCGGTTATAATTGGGCTCACACCCTGCATTTCTTAATGTTTGTTCCAGCCCCAACAGGAAAAAAAAAAAAAGGTAAAATTTAATGTATTGTAAAAGGAGAAAAAAATGATAGTGTAAAACCTAAACTTGGACAACCCTATGCACTTAAACATAATAATCATCATAGAGAAGACAAGCCTATATTCTGCTTTTACCTCGTTGAAAATTTCAATGTTTTCCCATATAATGTTTCTGATTTTTCTATCATAGGGGGCCGAATTATGAGATTGACAAATTTTTATAGAGAAAAAAAAAAAGTTGACGAGCTGAAAGAGTGTGCTATGTCACATCCCGCTGCCTCTCTTGTCGCTGGCTATCCTGTTGATTATCTAAATATATATGTCCATTTTGACGGCCATTCATCAGTATTTCTTGACCAATTTTCGGTTATAGATCAGCAATGGCATTGGTAGTTGGTTAAAAACATAAATGCAAATAAGAGCATAGTTTTACACATATTTCATTTTTATTTATATTTTTTATTATATTTCAAAAATATGTCATTTTAATAATTTTAAATTTGATAACATGCAAACATGATAATTTCACATATTAAAAAAAGGGTATAAGATGAGGCTATATATAAAAAAAAATTATGTTCTCACGGGAAAATATAGTTTCTGAGTTACATCACTGCCGGTAAACCATCTTACCTAAGAATCCTACAATAGAAAAATAACGGCAAATAATGATTGAGAGGTCTAATCAAATGACCGTGATCATTTAGAAAGCAACAAATTGTTTCTTGATAAGCATAATTTCCGATCGCTTTAACAAAATCACTTTCATGAAATAGTGTTGATCGTTCTTTGTAATCATTCATGTCAAGTTAATTGTGTGACCCCCAAAAACTTTTGTTTTGTCCATATATGAAAACGGGTATGTATAAAATCCTGACGTGTGTGGATTCTTTCGGTTCTTTTTCATGCACAATGATTACTTTCCTCCATCATTCTCGTCAATAAGCGTTCTTTTTTGGACAACCTTTTATTAAAATCATCGTACAACAAATTAAGCTCTTTTTTCTTTTCTCAACGTGATTTCCATTAATAAACAAACTTGATAGACAAATGTCGTGAAAATATCTGAATCATTATTTGGCTTCAAAATGAAGCAATAAATATTGAAGGAATGAGATAGCAAAATGCTCGTAGCTATAGCCAATGTATAATTGATCCTTGCAATTATTTTAAATTTTTTATATTTAATAATTTAAATTTTAAATTTTAAAATTTTTATTTTTGTTGAAGGTACATATTTTGAATGGAGGTGAGGTAAAAGATAATCAAATTTGTAATAAAGAAATCAACGATTGTTGATTCAAGTAACAACAAGTTTGATTTTTTTAAAATAAATTTTAGATTTTGAATTTTGTGAATAAAAAAAAAATTTAAGAGAATTTATCTTCTTATGAAGTTTGATCCGATTTGATTCTGGATTAATTTGAGTTCAAAATAATTTTCGAACATCAAAGAATTTCAGACCTAAAAAAATTTGTAATAAAAAACTTATGATAAAAAAATAGTGGAGTTTGATTTTGATGTGCATTTTAACACTTAAATTAATCTAAGTATAGAAGATTAAGATTGTAGAGAAAGGAAAAGATGAATTGTAAAAAATAATTAAAAAAAAACTTAAAAAGAGAAGTTAAAATAATATATTTAAATTTTTTTTATCGTATAAATGACATAAAATGGACAAAATGTGAATAATTAACAATTGATAAAAAATTTATATGACTCAAAGAAAATTCGCGTGGATAATGTTTAATCATCCAAATAAATTAAATTATGCCTGCTAATGAGATGTTAATGAAAATAATTTAACAAGTTATCTTCATGTGCGAGAAGGTACAAGTAGTTGAGCAACTCCGGGGCGAGCATGTATGGAGGGTGAAGAGCTCGGACGTTAATTCTCTTTAGGCGAATGACTTGATAATCAAGGTGCGTTAACTTGAGTATAGAGGTTGATTTTATTGATTAGACAAGTAGACAAACAGTTCTCAAACTAGTACTCTTTTATGTAAAAAAAAATGCTTATAGTTGAATTATATTTATCCACGACTTTTACTCTTGCGAAAGCGAGGAATTCCATAATCAGTGGGTTCAAACTTCAATCTATAGGAAATCAGCTGAAGATCACTGAGCTGTGAACGTTAATGTATAATGCCTAAATTGACTAACTCACCAGCTATGAAATTCAATCTTTTTCCACCTTATTTCCTGCCTGTCTTCTTTAATTATTTCTCTGCCTTTCCTAGTGAAAGCTGTAGATATTGAATTTCCAAGTGCACCTTCATAATTTATAGCACTTGATAATTAAAAAAAAAAAAAAAAACTTCAACTGCCAATTTTAATTCTTACATTTATAACTTGTCTGCATCATTTTACTGGGGACTGAGTTGTACCCAGCTTAGTTATAAACATTTTCATTGACCTAATTATTAATTAAGGTAATTTCATTTATTATTCCTAGTTTGAATTTCAAAACTGTGCCCTACGAAGAATAATTTATTTTGGCTGGAAAAATGTTGTTGGTGATCTATAATTTTTACGGTCAATTTTCTATCCAACAAATTAACATTGGTGATTACATAGCAATTTCAAATCCAGGTATTTGAGAAAACCAAATCGCAGCAATCATTCTAGAGACGAGAGGGAGGTCTCTTGAAAATGACTGGAAAAGACATTAGTAAAAAAAAATAATAATCAAGAAATAATAGCTTTAACTATTCTTAATTAATCGGGAGACATATAATATGCACTGTATATTCACAGCTTTATAAAATGCCTATACACATGGATAAAATGCCTTTAATTTAGATATATAAAGTTTAGGCTACCATCACATTAGTCTTGATAATTTGTATTTTGTGTTATATATATTTCATATAAAATACGTATAAATATCAAATTTATTATGTCATATATATTCATATCAACACATCAAACATGAATTATATTTTTGTTTTTTGTCAAATTTATATTTAATTTTTATAAAATTTTAAATTATATCACTTTTATTTTTGTCCATATCATATCATTTTATTATGGTCTAAAATTATCAAATTTATGTCCTACTGCCTTGGCAAGATATTTTTGGAGAAGACTTTCCATCATGCATTTGAACATTGACAAAGAAGCAGTAAAGTCACACAATGAGTAACAATGGTCAAATTTCCCACCGGAGATTTCCCCCTAAGCACCTACTTGTACTTGGCTGATCCATTAAAACTATATATAGGGTTGAAACCAATAAAGTTAATTCCCCTATTGTTATATACTAGCACTCCTTCAATTTTTATCTGATTTTTTGCTTTTAGTTTTATATATACACGAACTAGTTGAAGTAATCTAGGCCCCATGTGAATGGACAAGCAATTTATAATGCAGCCCCGACCAAGCTGATTTTTTTGGTTCTGAAATCTGAAATGGGAAGACCGAAGACCAACCAATTTCCACCAAAAAGCTCATGAAATAAAGCTGAAAACTCCAGCCAACAAATTATCAGAAACCAGATTGGAGTTTTTAACATCACATTCTGGACCAGTTCAAAACTCCCCCCTCAGAGCAGTAAAAATAAAAAAATATCGAACTCTCTCTCAAAAACCCTTCTCTTTTACGGGTAGATGACAGCTTAAGTTAAGGGAAACCTCCATTGATTTACCCCACCTACTACATAGGCATTTCCCTCTGCCAACGGTACTTTGCTTTTGTTGATTTTAAATATTCTCTACATGAAAAAAAAAAAAAAAAAAAAAAAAAAAAGGAGCCTCCAAGTCCATGGATACTGCCTGCCTATGTATAATTCTCATTTAATGTATGCCCATAATCATCACGAACGCTTCTCGGAGGCATGCAACTTATGAAC